TGGAGATCTCTCTCTTTCTCATTGTAACTCTACCTTTCAAATAAATAAAATAAATTTTTTTAAAAAAAAGCAGCCAGCGCAGAAAAGCCACCAGCACAGATACCAAAAACTTACTTGGACCAGTAGACTATGACTACAGCCCCAGAGTAGGCCAGAGAGAGGCCCGGAGGAAAGGGGGAGGATTTCCTATCAAGGCCCAGGGATACATTCTGAGAAGAAATGCAACAATTATCACCATCAAGTGCCCAGGGAGCCCTGGGGTGTGGATTAATCACTGTATATTCACTGCCCTCTCCCCTACCCCACCAAGCCTCACAACTAGGCCACTGCAGTGGGCACGATCAATTCCATCTCTTTAAGCATTATTATGTATTTATTTGAGACACTCTGACTGATAGACACAAAGCCTCCATCCACTGGTTCATTCTCCAAATGCCTGTAATGGCCCCTAGCTGGAACTTGACCCAGGTCTCCCATGTGGGTGATAGGGGCCCAAACTCAGCCACCACCTGCTGCAGCCCCCCCCCGCCAGGGTGTGCACTAGCATAGCCAGGAACTGAACCCAGGTACTCTGATGTGGGTTGTGGGCATCTCATCCAGCACCTGCTAGGCCAATTGCCCAGCCCTCAATCCCATCTTATGGATGCCTAGAGAGAGAGAGACTGAGGGCTCACATCACACTAAGCCCTTGCTTTCCCCTGCCCCAAACTTTAGAGCATTAAAATATCTTTAGTGTTCAAGGAAAGATGTTAAAATGACTTCAGAAAGCTAAAGAATATATTTAATCTACTTTTTTCACTTTGCTTGAAAGGCAAAAGAGAGAAAAATAGAGATCTTCCATCCACTGATTCACTCCCCAAATGCCTTCAACAGTCAGGGTGGGACAGGCTGTAGCCAGAAGCCTAGAACTCAATCATGGACTCAAGTATTTGAGCCATCACAGCTGCCTCCCACAGTGCACAACAGCAGGAAACTGAAATCAGAAGTGGAGAAGCAGGGACTTGAACCCAGACACTCTGTTATGGGATACAGGCATCCCAAGTGGCAATCTAACCACTGCATCCAACATCCACCCCAAGCTAAAGAATCTCAAAATCCAAATAAGCTGGGAGGCAGGGGAGGGTTGGTTTGTAGGCTCAAGTTAGAACAAAGACTTAGGTCAAGGAGTTTCTGGAACATAGGGGAGTTCAAGGGCATCTCAGTCCAAGGCATTGTCACATCTCATGGGTCCACACCAGAAACCCGAGACCTTGATGCCTTTGACTTACCTTCTCATGCCTCCCAGCACCTGGTCCCACAGTTCCTCTCCTTGGAAACCTATCAATCCATCTTCCCTCCTTTTCTACCCTCAGTGGCATTTTCCTCATATCTGGGCTGAGTTACTGAAATGGCTCCTATGGGCTCTCCCTGCCTCCTGCGTCCAGCCTGGGCCCAGTGCCAACACCTGAGTTATGTGTGCCTCCGACTTGGAAGCACGCAGACCTAATGAAGTCCTTCATGGGGCTCAGGAGCCCTCATCACCAGACCTGCACCTGTGTCTTCCTCCTCAAGTCCTACCTCCCCTACCTGGCAGTGCTTGGAGTCGCCTCCCAGGAGACATCTGCACTGTGCTGGAGCGATGACAAGGAGCTCGACACAGGGGCAGCTGGGAAAGGTGTCCCAGGCCCGGGGAACAGAAGTGCCTGGAAGACCAACTTCCTTTAGGATTTTTGCATTTCGCCCTAGGAGCCAAAGGAATTCTGTGCTGCTTTGTGTGACTGGGCACTCCCCCAGGAAAGCATGGGGCCGACAGACCAGGGGAAGGCCTCCTGCTGTGTGACCCCCTGAAGCTGGCTGGCCACTTGGGTGTCCTGGAAGGGGAGGGGGGTTTGGGTCTGGACGCCTTATCAGTGAGCTGGGCAGACTCACGGTTTGGTTGAATCTGTGGTCCTCGGAGCATTCGGAATCATCCTGCCAAACATTTGTGGTGTTCTCTCGCGTCCGCCAAGTGCCCTGGGCCAAGCAGTGTCTGTAGGCCCTTCTTGGACTCTCTGAAAGCAAACAGAGCTCTGGAGGAAAGGTCAGAACACGCAGCCTGTTCCCCAAGCGTGCTAGAAGGCCACAAAGCTGTAGAAAATCCCAGGGAAAAGAGATTTTCATTTCCCCTTTTGGGAGCTCATTAGCATCTCTACTGTTTATTTGGGATGGAAAGAAAAACACGGAAGTTTCTCAATTTCCTAACAAACCATGATCCGCTAATGTCCACTGTGTTTACCCAAAGTCTGGTGACTCAGAGATGTCATAACCCCGCCAAGGTACAGCCCGGATCGGGGACACCACTAGGATGCTGGGTACTTGCCCAGAGAGGCAGCATCCCCCTGAGGTCCACGAGGCGATACCATGAAGAAGAGAAAGTGTTGGCATGTGGGAAGGCACACCCCTGCCACCCACTCCGCCACCTGCATGTGAGCTGGAAGCCTGATGTCCCTCGTGGTCAGCCCTCCTGCTCTCTAAGCCTTCCAGTGTCTTCTTTAGGAACAGGGGAGGCCGGCGCCACGGCTCACTAGGCTAATCCTCCGCCTTGCGGCGCCGGCACACCGGGTTCTAGTCCCAGTCAGGGCGCCGGATTCTGTCCCGGTTGCCCCTCTTCCAGGCCAGCTCTCTGCTGTGGCCCGGGAGTGCAGTGGAGGATGGCCCAAGTCCTTGGGCCCTGCACCCCATGGGAGACCAGGAGAAGTACCTGGCTCCTGCCATCAGATCAGCGTGGTGCGCCGGCCTCACCGAGCCAGCCACGGCAGCCATTGGAGGGTGAATCAACGGCAAAAAGGAAGACCTTTCTCTCTGTCTCTCTCTCACTGTCCACTCTGCCTGTCAAAAAATAAAAAAAAAATCATAAAATAAAAAAATACAGGAACAGGGGATCATAATGGTTTGAACCCTCCATGCTTTAGGGAGGGTGAAATGAAAGCGTGTGTGTGTGTGTGTGTGTGTGCGTGCGCGCGCGCGATGCTGGGTGTCCAGTGCTGTTGTGACTCAGCCCTGCCTATCCCAGGAGTCCCTCCTGCCTGAAACGTCAAGGCCTGCACTTGCAAAGGAAAAGTAGGAAACACGTGGGAGCTCCCCAGTCCTGACGCTGCACCTCACAGACCACCAACAGTGATGGGCTGAATCCAGTTGATGGGGACCCACGTCGTCATCCGCCTGCCCACCTGAAGCTTGGCTGGGGTGTCCAACCTATGTCTCCATTAACAGGTCCCTCTGAACCAATCTCTTCAGCTCCTCCTCAAAATCTACCCCCCACACACACACATACACACATTGTCCAACAACCATGGATGAGAAACATCTTCCCAGTCCTCTGTCTCTAAACTTAGCATCACCTTTGCCTTGTCTCTGTCTCTCTCATCCCTCCTTTGGCTCCTCACCCAATCCGGTCATCAGTACCCTTCCAACAGATCCAGAGATCCACCCCCTGCTTCCGTCCTAAACAGAACCACCATCTCTCACCTGGATTACCAGACTCCTCTGGCAGTCTGGCCCCTGTGGGCAGTGAACTGAATAAACTCAGTCATACCACATCATGCTTCTGCCCAGTATCTTCCAAGGCCTGTCTGAGAACAGTCAGAGCCCTCCGCTGGCCTTCCAAATAGTCCAGTAGTGCCCAGCCCCCAGTGCTCTGCGCCCTGATCTCCTGCTTCTCCTCCTGCTACGTGCTCCAGCCACATCCGCAGGCTCCCCTCGAAGGATCTCTGCACCACTGTCCCCTTCTCCCCTGCACACACCTCCCTTGCCGGCCAAAACCTTTACCTCCATGAGTCTTCAAAAGGAAGCCTTCCATGACCTCCCAATTTACAAGTGAACTGACTCCCCCCACAGCAACCACCCCACCCTCCCCCCTGTTCTATCTTGTTCAGAGCAGATCATATCTATACTTAGGTGCAGTGTGTACTGACTATGGTCTGTCTCTCCCACTACACCGTGAGCCCCGCAAAGAGAGAAATTGGGGGCCAGCACTGTGGTGCAGTAGGTTGATCCTCGGCCTGAGGCACTGGCATCCCATATGGGCGCTGGGTCTAGTCCTGGCTGCTCCACTTCCATTCCAGCTCCTCTACAGCCTGGGAAAGCAGTGGAAGATGGTGCAAACACTTGGGGCCCCCGCACCTACGTGGGAGACCTGGAAGAAGCTCCTGGCTCCTGGCTTCGGATTGGCCCAGCTCCGGCCATTGCAGCCATTTGGGGAGTGAACCAGCGGGTGGAAGACCTTTCTCTCTGTCTCTCTCTCTCACTGTCTGTAACTCTAACTCTCAAAAAAATAAAATAAAATCTTTTAAAAAAGAGAAAGAGAGGGACTGGATTCTGCTTTGGTCACTCATATGAGGATGCTTCCCAAAGTTCATGGAAAATGGAATGAAAAGATTAAGTTTAATGCCGGTGCCGTGGCTCACTAGGCTAATCCTCCACCTTGCGGCACTGGCACACCGGGTTCTAGTCCCGGTCAGGGTGCCGGATTCTGTCCCAGTTGCCCCTCTTCCAGGCCAGCTCTCTGCTGTGGCCAGGGAGTGCAGTGGAGGATGGCCCAGGTGCTTGGGCCCTGCACCCCATGGGAGACCAGGAGAAGCACCTGGCTCCTGCCTTCGGATCAGCACGGTGCGCCGGCCTCAGTGTGCCAGCCATGGCAGCCATTGGAGGGTGAACCAACGGCAAAAGGAAGACCTTTCTCTCTGTCTCTCTCTCTCTCACTGTCCACTCTGCCTGTCAAAAAAAAAAAAAAGATTAAGTTTATTTTGGTCTAGCCAGGGGAGCGCCAATCCAAAGTGCTGAAGACTGGCACAAATGCTAAGACAGGCAGCTGCACAGGTGTAGAAGAGGCATGAAAAAGGCAGAGGTACAGGGGTGCATTTGCATGCAGAAGGGTCATTGGAGAAACCACCCAGAAGGAGGAAGGATTAGAAGCGAGCGTTGAGGTTGGGTTTATGGACAGGGAGGCGTGGGCAGGAGCTTGGAGGTGGCATCCCGGATAGAGCTGTGAGCAAAGACCCTGGCTGGCAATAGCTGGGCAGGTGGAGGAGCCTGGAGTGCTGCACTTGGCTGGAGCCACCGGGAAGAGGAAACAGGAGAACGTGCCAGAGAGGACAGCAGGGCCAGGTGGCAGAAGGACTTGCAAGGCCATTTATAGACCAACTGGCATCTTAGGAGGCTTAAGGTGCATGATGGTTGGAAGGGGACCAGATCTGGGGTTGGGGACCAGTGTATAGATCAGGAAGTAGCAACGTGGGGTAGGAGTGAGCCACTCACTCACCTGAGCCCAGCAGTGAGGCATGGAGGGGTGGCGAGGCCAGGGGACCCGGCTACCAACTGGGGTGAATGCGGGTGGGGCCATCTGGAGTGTGAGCCCATCACTGTCCCTCAGCTTCTCCTCCACCTGATGTCAAGCCTGGACCATTCTACCTGCACGACTGCTCTCTCGTCTTCCCCCTCCTCTCCAAACTCTTGCCTCCGCCTGAATCCAGACTCTTAGCACCCCTTTTTCTGAACCATGCAGCAGCTACCAGACACACAGCCTGGCTCCCTACATTCCTCCATCCCACCGCCATAGGGTGCCAATGTTGTCTTCCCAAACTACCTCTTCTTATGTCTTTTCACGCCTCCACTCCCATCATGGCTGCACATAATCTTGCCCTACCAAGGCAAGTCCAAGGTCCTTAGTGCAGTACACAATTCCCTGTCCCCAGACCCAGACACTTGCCTGAGATACCAGCACAGCCTGCATGCCCCACCACACTCTGTGCTCCTCCTACTCTCAAATCACAAGAATTCCTGCGCACGTATTCACCTTTGTAGATGCTCCCTAAACCCCTGCAATTTTTTTTCTCTATCTCCTCTTTTTTACTGCAGGATCTCATTTGGATGCTAAAGACTTAATGAAAAAAAATGCAGTGTGGAAGAGTCACTTCTCACCTTTTATAAACAGTACACTTCAGAAGCACAGAACCTGTTAACAGATTCATTCATTCATTCAACAGTCAGAGAATGGTCTGGGAGAGATCTCCAATCATTCCCCAAATGCCTGCAAGAGCCAGGATCGGGCCAGGCTAATGCTGGGAGCCAGGAACTCAGTCCACGTGGGTGATAGGAACCCAGTTACTTGAGCCGCCATCACCCGCTGCCTCCCAGGGTGTGCATTAGCAGGGAGCTGGAATCAGAAGCCAGAGGCAGGAGTTCAACCCAGGCACTGTGGTGTGGGATGCAGGAATCCCAACCACGAGGCCAAATGCCCACCTCTCTTTTTAACTTCTATGTAAATGTGGGTTTTTGATCACTTCTATCTTAGAGTGAAAAGCACCTGTCTGTTTAGCTCTTGGATGAGAAGAGCGACTTTGTGGAGCTGGAGGGTGGGGGTCTGCTCCATGTGCCCTGGAGGAGTCCTGGACACTCAGGGCCTTAAAGACCTGGAGAATGCGAGGCGCTCGGCCTCCGACTCAGCTTCAGCTCCCACTGCCGAGGCATCTGCTGCGCCTGCCCTGTCAGCGATCCCCCAAAACAAGCTTAAGACACAGCTGTCGTACACTTTGCTCAACAGATGGGAGACCACAGCTCACAGGGCTCCGGGAACTGCTCTAAGTCCCAGAGCAGGACACAGAGGGCCCGGCTCCCACCCCGCCCCCGGGGCTCCTGATGGCACACGCAGCGCTCTCTTCCTGCCTCACTGAGCTGGCTCCGTGTTTGCTGAATCATTCAGACCCCTTCAGGCGGCCAGCAAGGTCCCTCCTATCTCCACCCGCTCTTAAACCTCACATCCTTACGCCGCCTGGGTTGATTCCAAGTGGATTTCGTCAGACAGCAGCTCCATCCAATGTGTCCCTCCCGGAAATGCGGCCCCCCCTTCTCACTCATTCCTAGAGCAAACACTGAAACCTAAGTTTCGCTAAAATGGTGATTGCTTGGGTTACAATTAAATACAAAACACTATTGTCTCACCCTCCTCAGAAACACGCCACCTTGCTTTGCCTGGAACTACATAACCGCTTACGTTTCCTGAGAACAGTTTCAGCTCTCCATATATTCGCCTGTGATCTTTGGAGAAAAGCAGCAAGATTCTAATCCTGTCATTGTTTCTCTCCCTTTCCAGAATAAAATAACCAAGAGGACAAGGCTCCTGGGGCAGGCTGGGATAGGATCATATCCTGGGCTCCTAAGTAGCAGTCACATCCTTGCAAAGGCATCAGGGTAAACTAAGGGGTTAAATTCGCCATCCAAGTCCCATGGGACTTAAAAAAAAAAAAAAAAAACTCATGGATTCAAGGGAAAGTTAAAGTCCTTCCTCCTCATTCTGAAAGCTGTGTGGACATGAGCCTCCCACATTTGCCCCTCCATAAATCCTACCACTCTTGGCCTCACGGCAGCCAGGTCTGAATCCTATCTGCAAAGCAAAGACAACTATTCTGTGCATGGAAGGGCAGAATGGCAAGAAGATGGAGAGGGGAGATGCGACACTGAGAGCCGAAGGGGAGGCCTCTGCTGGGGGAGGAGGACTTGAGCAAAGCAATACAGGGGAGCCCTCTCTCTACCCCCAACTTGGTCTACCCGGGAGGGACCACCCCTTAAAGGAACGGTTGGAAATTGGGCACATAAGGTGTCTTACCTTCATTCCACCAAGGCAAGTAGGAAGGGCAGGGAACAGAGACATTCCCGGGAGAAGAATGAGGCCAACACACGTACATATCAAACGTCCCATTACAGAATATGCCTGTGGACAGAAGAGGCGCCAGAATGAACATCAGTGTTGGAGCCCGGGGTCCTCTGATAGACTCAGAGGCACCGGGGCGCCCGGAACCCATCTCCCTCCCATCAGAAGCCACTGTATCCTGTGCAGAGACCACCAGAGTGGTCCCCATTCTCCAGACAGGCTACAGAGGAGGAAGAATGATTTGGGGAGCACACCAATGTTGAATGCAACCCCAAGCGTGGTACCTTTGTCTACCCAACTTGACCTCCAGAAAGGAAGGGAGAGTCAGCCTCCAGGACCCTGAATGAAATGATCCTAGGAAGCCAGGAGCATGACAGGGGCAGCTCAGAGGCAATGGGCCAAGGTGCTTTCTCTTTGTTTCTTTGCAAGGCAGGCACATTACAGTATCAGCATGTGGAGAGGCGAGGCTGTGGGCTGACCAAACTACTGTGTCGTTGCTAGCATGTTCTGAACTTAAGGTGTACTTGAATAAGAGAAATGTTGGTGCTCAGATTTAGTTAACACCCTGGAGATGGGGGACCTCCCCCTCCACAACCACCCACCTGGAAGATCTTCAGATTAATCTACAACCACTGCTCACGCCGCGAGATTAGGCAGTGAGTGTGC